AAAAAAGAAAAAAAAAAAGAAAGAAAGAAAGAAAGAAAGAAAGAAAGAAAGAAAGAAAGAAAGAAAGAAAGAGAGGGAGGGAGGGAGGGAGGGAGGGAGGGATATCTACTGTCCTAGATTGAACCAGACAGTGGACAGACAACTTTCTATTATTAAAATGCAAGCCAACCAGAGGTCAGAGAAGAATTTCGATTAGCTTCCTAAAGAGAAGATGAAAGTAGGCTTCTCGCTTTCAATGAGCATTAAGAAGTTATAACAATCTTTTCTTTTATGACAAGTTCTCTGCTGTGAATACAACTGAACATATCTATTTTGTAAAACTGATAACATATGTGGATGTTATCAGTGAGAGAAGCATGTTCCATGGAATGGATGCACAAACATGGAAAACAAAAACCTACTGCAAAATTTGATGAGCAATGCATGCAACAGAGGAAAAATAAAATTGAATGCTAATTTATTTATATTTATATTTATTTATTTATTTATTTATTTATTTATTTCTCGCCCATCTAGTCAATAGACTACTCTGGACGGCGTATTTATTATTTGCATTATTTGCAAATATTATTTGCAAATAAGGCAAATAATAATAATTATAATAATAATATAATATAATAATAAAAATTACTTGCATAGCACTAAAAATAAGGACAGAGATTTCATTCTCTTTTACAACTTCATTCCTAACAATACTAGAATACCCTTTTGAAGAAGTATTTGTGTCTGTAAATGGAAAATCATACATGTTCTATATTTCACTCTGACTTAATTTTGCTATTTGTATAGGACTCTTCTATCTCATTCTTCAACAATGCTCCTCGGCAACTAACACTAAAATGTAACCATATGAATACAATGACACCCTTCAACAGAATGCAGCACAGCAACAGAGCTACAATGCAAAAAGCCATGTTAAAATTAATCTAAGTGAAATTTCTAGAAGTCTGGTAAAAGGAAAAAGTCTTCCTTTTTTTCTTCATATGTTAGCAATCAATGACAGCTAAATGGGCAAGCCTCCCTAAGGAGTAAATTCCAAAGGTGGTCCCAAGAGACCACAAGTGAAAAGGCCCTCTGTCCAACTACCATCCGCTGCACATCACAAAGTGCAGGGAGAGGCATATAGGGAAGATTTTGAAGGAAATCTCAATATCCAAACAGATATCTGTCAGAAAAGCTGATCACTTAAGGTATCCTTAAGGTATGACCATGGAATGATTTTTAAGGAAATAGATCGACTTCAAACCCTCATAGATCTTTCAAGTAATAACACAGAAAGTCTGGTCTCTTCAAAGCTAAGGCACACAGATTTTGGTACTCTTTTGATCCTAATTGCAAGCTCATAATGCCACTCAGGGTGTAAAAATTGCTCTTTTTTTTTTGCTAATCTGTATAATTTTGTGAATTCTGGGGAAATAAGGTCTCTTTAAATTCCAATATTCAACATTCTGTTATCAGTTAAAGCAAACAAACAAATGAATAAAATCTGATGGTGCGCCTTGAATTCAGGACCACAGATATAAAAACAAATGTGAAAAGCTGCACAGTATTTTTATTTATAGAAATCCCTTTTCAGAAACATACATTAAGTATAGAAGAGTTACATTTTAAAATGTGAAGCAAAAAAAGTGAAGAAAAAAAGGTGACCTTGCAGGATAGACAAGCCGAATGTTAAGGGTTTACAACCATTAAAATTATCCTACTTTAATTTCTCTCCAAAGCAGAGTTAATACATTTCAGGTGACTCCTGCATTTGCCCAGCATTCACAAATTCAGTGTTACTGCGTCAGACTGATAACAGTTCAGAACTCGTAGTCTGAGCCATTATTTCTTCCACCCTCTTATTTAACGATGCTCTTACATTATTCAATTTCTTTTTTTTTTAAATGAAGCTACTTCCACAAATGCTTCAGAGTTCACCCCGTTACCCTTCCACCCAGCTTTGAACTCCCTCCTTTTCACGGGGCTGTCACTGCAGATTTTTGACATAAAACAAGAAAAGGTACCTTCAAAGAAATCAAAGTCTTGCAAGTCGTCAGGGAGCCGCGGTAAGACATCAGAGAAATCCTCCTGATTCAGTTCGAGGTCATGTGGAATGTCGGTGATTTCATTGGCGATGTCATCAGGCAGCTCGTCCGCACTAAGCTCCGGCGTGGAAGGGCTCCTAGGAATACAGCAAAACCAGTCACTCCCATCCGTCTGCCACCATGTCTGACTGCTGGGCACTGATCTATTGAGGCATATGTATATGTGCTTCTTCACTTTCCCTCATCCCAGGTTTAAACAGTACTGCCCATTCCCCTACAGTCCCCATCTACAGGAGTCAGGGTAGCTATTTACACAGATAGCATTACAGCAAGATCGTATCGACAGAAAACAGGCAACCCCCTGTAGAGACAATGCACAATTGCAACTACGACCCACATAGTAGAGCCAGTAGCAATCTTGCCTCTCTTGTGCCTCCATTAGTCCAGAAAAGCTGATGCCCTCAGGCTGCCAGCCAATCTGAAAAATGGTTCTTGTACCCACTGAGATCACCTACTCCTGCTCCATGCTTTCTGGCACAGTGACAACTGACACAACCTGGATCCCTCTTTTTATCTAAGTTCTGAGCAGTGAAGGAAGATGTCCTGAAACTCACTTACTCTGTCCACACTTAAGAGACTCCAAGGAGCAGAGGAGTCCCTGAAATGTCATCATTGCTCAGCAAGCTTACTTCCATTCCTGAGGCCAAACTGAATGGCCAGAAGAGAAGACACCAATGAACTGGGCTCTCCTCCAGTTGGCAAGGATAATCCCTATCCAATGACCTGGGAGCTGATAAAGAAATCTCATGTGTATCTCTTTGAATGTAGTGTGCTCCAGTTTTAATCCAGAAGAAAACTAGACGTTAGCCATCAAACATCTGGGAGATGCTGGCTGTAATCAAACATTCAAAACATATTCATTGATTTTCATGCTGTCTGTCAACCTAAGGGTTTTCCACTACTAGGACTGGATTAATACATTCCTAAAAAGAAATATTAAGTAGTATTCTGTAAGCCTCACATCAATTTGTTCTATTGTTTATATTTGTAAGATATGCATTGAACAAACACAGTTCTGACTTTTTTGATATCTCAAAAGATCAAAAGCCTTCAAATTAAAGAAAAAATATGTTTGAAGCTATACTCCCCAAGGTAAGGCAATCTGGGCCACAGATCAATCTCCACCTCACAAGAAGAACCTATTGATGCAACTTCTTCCACCTCAAATAAATACAAGAAAAGAATGCACTATTTGATACTTTGGGGGGGGGGAGAATCCCCCTGCAAACTTAAAATCTCCAGCTTCTGTTAAATGACTGGATCTCTAAAGAAACCACACCTACCCAAAAACGGGCACTGCCATTTTAGCCTCTCTTTTAAAGAGACAAGTCTTGCATATTACATTAAGTGTCTGTTGCCCAGACATTCTCCTCTAGGGAAACCCAATCCAAAATTAGATATGTTTTATCTACAACTAGTCCTACCAGAGTGGTATAAAACCACAATTTTCATCCCATAATTGCCATTGTTCCCTTCAGTACAAGGCAGGAGGAAAGACACTAAGCTTTCAATAAGTGGCAGAATTAAGAGGCAGAATTGATGTATCAATGAATAATAGGCATAAGAAAAAGATAATGAAAAGTGTCACTACCACCATTTGTTTCTGCAAGGGAGTTAGCATGGAAATGTCTCATCAACCCTAACTGAGACTCCCAAGAGCCATAAAAATGCAGAATACCAAAGGAAAGGCCTGCCTTCTTGGGAGGCTGAATTATTAACAAAGAAAGCATTGTTGAAAAACAAAGAGCATTGCATCATTAGCAAAGAGTGGCATGTTAGGTCACAAAGACTGGCCTAAACTGTCTCTAAGCTGGCCTAATAAATGACTGCCAAGGGCCTAGACTGCACCATAAAAAGGTAAAGGAGGGAGTGATCACTCTGCAAGTGCGTAGAATGACAGATCCAGAATCACTCACCTTTCTGCTGCTGTCCTTTATCAATTCATTGTGTGAAAATAAACTTCTAGCCTATTCTTAGGAATGTTTACTCAGAGGTAAGTCCCACTGGATTCACCAGAACTTACTTCCAAGTAATAGTGCAGAGAACTAGCTTTAATAATCCTAATTCTCATACAGGCAGCATAGTACATATTCATTCACAGAGCTCATCCTTTCCAAAACTAAAGGGCCAAAAAAGGGGAAAAAATCACTGCTGAATACTAACCGTATATGGGATATCTCCATTGGCAGTGAGATGCTGGTGGGCATACTGAGGTTTCCTTGGGGCACAGCAGGAGGAATTGGTTTTTGGGGACGCCGAGGCCCTCGCCTTCTCTTCTTCTTGTGTTTTTTTGTAAGGGCAGGTGGCTTTGTTTTTTTCCTGGGCTTCCTCTGCTGCTGGTGCTGAACTTTACGGGAGCTGTCGCCTCTCAAGAAGTTATCCTTTTGTAGTGAGGACAGAAAGACAGGAAGAACCCATGAAGAACACGCCCTTTTGTCTTTTATTGCCTTTCCAAAACAGTTCGGTGTCATGAAGATCAGAACACATGACAAATTCAAAGATCAATCATGAAATCTGATTAATGGCATTCTGTCCTCCACCAGTGGTAGGGAAGGGAAGAATCAAAACTACATTCGGGCGGAACTATTTCCAGATTCATTCACTCTGGTCTAAACATGGTCTTTAGAAGGGGAAAGGTTGCCATTGAGTCAAAAGAATGGTTTTCAAAGCCCAAGATCAGAAAAAATGAACTGCTTTTCTTTGAACAGTTTACATGGCATATTGCAAATGCCATTTGAAAGACAGTATTTTGCAGAAGAGGACTTAAAGCACAAAGGTGAAATCTGGAGGACACATTATGTAATAGCTAAGAAGAAAAAAACTTGGGATGTTGTCTTTGTTGCGTACATCAGAGGCATATTAAGGCCCAAGTGCTAACAAGGTACTGTAATTTAAAAGGCCTATTCTTGCAATTAATTTAGGAAAAGCAAACACAAGTTTCAACTTCTTAAGCAACTAACTTCCCGGTAGCAGAAAGGGGGTCACTGATCCGGTCCCAGAATTCGCCAAATTTGTTATTATGAGGACTATATTACACGACCAGTGTGCTCAGCAAAAGGAAAAGTTGGGAATCATCTTTAAGCCTTTGAGAAGAAGTATAAGAATTGCCCGAGGAGAGAAGAACATGCATGTTCAAATAATAGGAGCCTGTTTTGACAGACAATCTCCGAACATAAAAAATAAACCACAGAAAATAACCAGAATACTCAGCTTCCATCTCAGAGCAGCATTCCAGCAGAACTACTCCAGCATGTCTACTATTAAACAAAACACACCAGACAAGATGATGCTCCACAAAGGCAAATGTCATCCTTCTGCCTATCCCTGTATTTGGCAGTACTGAACAGATTCAGCTGTGAATGGACATATGTAGGATTGAACTATGACAGATCTCATTTCAATCACAATCCTTTTGGTTGCTTCACTTTTTAAAAGCATGTTTAATGATAATGACATTCATTACTGTCAATATCAGCAGCACATAGTGCCCCCCCCTCAACTCAGTTTACAGACTTCTGAATGGGAGATGTGACAGTCTGAAACACTGCTGAACTCTGATGTTATCTTGTGGTTTGCTGGAAATACTGTTGCTCGAGATGTTGTGGGAGTTTACAGCCTATTCTTATCAAATGAGCTTACCATTTTTTTGGCGTGTTCTTCACACAGGGGTGTCTGATGTGTGATGTCAAAAACTGGCACAGAGCATTGCTGTCCGTCTGCAAACTTGGCTGTGCAGCTCGAGAAAAGCTGCTGTGACCGATTCAAAAGGATATCTATATACAGTTGCGTCAAGAACAACATGCAGGATGGAGGAAGAGGCAACTCTCCGGTTTTCAAAGAAAGTAAAGTATGATCTACAACCTGTCAAGATCTAGCTTTCAGTCAATTTTGTTGTTACCTATGCCTCAAGCTCTGAAAGATGCAAAATCAACAGTTAAAGCAGAAAACTGCCATCAAGCAGAACCGCTAATGATTTTATAATTTATTAAGATGGGCTTATTGAAGTAGCTATTTTGCTAATGAGTCCATGTGCCTGTTTCCTGGAGATTCTTAATCAATACTGTCATTTCAGGGGTCATGCAATCAATAGGTTTGCTTCTAACTAGCTAATGACAATCTATGCCAAAATACAAAAAAAGAGGATTTTTGTCATCCACATATGAGAAGGCATAAACCTTGTAAAATTCTTCCTGCCTTTTTGAAAGATTATGTACAGCAGAGGTTAATATGCTTGGAAAAGAATCATAAACTTGGTGTATTTTTAATCCCTTCCCAACCACCCCTTCTCTCATTTCCCCTCTCCTGGGCAGCAAAATTTCCTTCTACAAGATTGTTTACATAAGGGCTAATCAGAGATGTGTTCAGATTTTAACCAATGGGCATTAAGTTCCCTTTTGTAACAAGCAGCCTCATAAACAGCAACATTTCTACTATTTTAGGTACACAAAGGCAGTGAAGGAACATATGTGGCTAATATACCCAGTTTCCTTGATGGCATAAACACAGGACATTGATCTGGCACAGACTCCCTAATGAATAAGCTTTATGGCAGCTCAAAAAAAGGACTGCTGTACTTCCACAAGTCATGGCACCACCATTTACAGCCTCCATCAAAAAGTGCCAATTCATATAAACAGCACCTCTGCAAAAATTCTACTGGACTGTGAACTGTGAAGTGGCAGAGTTAATCAAGAGGGCTACTGGATACACAAAGCAGGAAAACACATTAAAATTCTGAGCTTCCTGAATTGGAGTCTTTTCTTCTCTCTCTCTCTCCCCCCCCCCCCAAATTCCTGGGCTCCTGCCTATGCTCACGTTCAGATTCTTCATTTGCAAAGGTTTCTGACATACGACACACCATTCTTCCTGGTTTCTTCCTCTTCTAGTCTACAGAGCAGGATTACACATTTTTCATCTCTTTTCATTTTAGACCACTTTACTGCTTTACGTTTTCCATGACTGCAAACCCTGCTGAAACCTTTAGAGCAACTGAAGCTGATTCAGATTTTCTGTGATAACCAAACCCATCTAACTCAACATAGTCATATCATTTGTTTGTTTTCATTTAACAACCAATACAGGCTCATACATATAATATTGTTTTGTGTGTGTGTGTAACAATGCTAACTATGGAATTCTGGCTAGAAGCCAGTAACGGGAGTGCAGGTAGATTTAAAGGATGAGCAGGTCCTGAATAGTTCACAGAATCCATCTCTTGCAAGTTCATCCCAGTCTTATGCTGCACAGCGTGGAACAAAAAATGCAAACAAACAAGATCTACAGATATTAGTAGTCTTATGCTGCACAGCGTGGAACAAAAAAATGCAAACAAACAAGATCTACAGAACCTTCCAGAAATCTTCTCTGGAAACAAAGAGTAAGGCATAGGTAACTAATTACACTAGGGGACGTGGTGGCGCTGCGGGTTAAACAGCAGAAGCCTTTGTGTGCTGCAGGGTCAGAAGACCAGCAGTCGTAAAATTGAATCCACGCGACGGAGTGAGCTCCTGTCGTTTTGTCCCAGCTCCTCGCCAACCTAGCAGTTCGAAAGCATGCAAATGCGAGTAGATATATAGGCACCACCTCAGTGGGAAGGTAAACAGCGTCCCATGTATAGCTGCGCTGGCCACGTGACAATGGACACTGTCTTTGGACAAATGCTGGCTCTACGGCTTGGAAACGGGGATGAGCACCGCCCCCTAGAATCAGACACGACTGACTAAATGTCAAGGGGAACCTTTACCTTTACCTTACCTAACTAATTACACTTTCAGTCCTTAGCACAAACAAGAAAACAATAAAAAAGATACGTTGAAAACAATGCTTAGTGAATGGAAGAGCCTTGTTGGTGCATGGTTCACCCTTCGTGGTTCCAACACATGGAGATGCATCCCTCTGTTTCACTTGGCTTGTGCTGTAACAAAAGGACAACAGGGAGCAAAACATCAACATGATAATTCAGGAGGCCAATAGTTCGCATCTAGCTCAGCATGCAGGGAGCACATGCTACAAAGGAAGACCACAAAAAGAAGATTGTGACAGTTTTCACCCCCTAGCAGTTAACCTGTAGCGTGTTGTATAGACAGACTGTAGTGAATGAAGAGGTGGTGTCTTTTGTCAGGTGTGGAAGGTAAAGAACAGCCAACACAAACCGTTCCAAGGTTAATTATGAGAAAATCTACGAGTACCTGTGGTTCTCAGTGATTAGTTCATAATCCTTGCATTTTATTGCAGAGCTGAAACTTTTCTGAATTTAGATTTCAAACCATACCATTCTGACTTTTTAGTCCAAATTTAAAATGAGTTTTCCATGAATGAATACCCCCGCCCAGCAACATCAAACATGTCCATGACAGAGGACCATCTTTCCAAACTTAAACGGCAAATTTCTACTATTTCAAATACCAGGCTTAAAACCAGGATCGGTCACTGGAATGCTCCAATTTTTTTTATTCTAGCCATTTAGGGTTAGTGGACAATCTTTGTTCTTGCTCATGCGCAGAATCTAAATGCAAGCGGTACCTTCTGCTCTTCTGACATGGCTCTGTAACCAGGAAAAATGAGACAATGGAGGGAGAGGGTCCATGTGCTCCTTGCTAAGTGTTTACATTTCTCATGTTGTATAATGGCCAATTAGGCTTCTGCATACCGGTGTGCTTGTGGTTCCACAGCTGTATTGTATCCTTCTTTGTACGGCAATGAATGCCACTCACCTGGTTCGAGTACACGAAGCCCTTCGAAGCTCCCGTAGCAACTGGCCAGCACACTCCGGCTCTCTGCTGGCTGCCCGCAGCAATGCTTTCCGGAATGTATGTTGGCATTTCCTTTGACGAGTTTCTGCCCGCTCCAGGCGGCAAAGATGCTTATATTTCTGCTGAAAGTAAGTGCAAAGTTGGGAAATGCGGGAACTCCTGCCGCAGGCATCATCACCATCTGGCCTGTGAGATTGGGGGGGGGGGGAAGAGAAAGATATATAGCTGGTAAAGTTCCTCGTTTTCAAATGTTTCAATATTAATCCACAAACAAGTGCCTCTAAATTATTCAGTGAACAGCTTGGGTCCAAGATGTCTCCAGGAACAGCGGCTTTCCTACCAATTTGCCCAGGCACCTTATTCATCTATAAGATTGCTCTCCTGCCAAGCTTACTTCTCAACACTCAGATAAGTGTCTCATCAACATCCCATGGAGTCTTTAAAAAATATTTTTGAGGCTTTTTTTTTAATAATTGAGAGATTTCACCATTCATTTTAATGCAGCTTTTCTTCTGCTGGTTTACCTGTTGTGTGCAGTGTTTAATGTATCCATAATTATTTTTGACTTGAATCCTGAGCTGCCCTTCTGCAAACTGCTTCAGTCCACAGAAGGAGCTTGCAGGAGCTTGCAAGTGAGAACCTGTTTTAGTTTTTTCTCCCTTTCCCTTCCAGCCCCCACTGATACCTTCCCACATTGTTCACGAAGACCTGTCAACTCTCCAGATGAGAATTCTAGGGACCAGAAAAAAGAAATGGAGAAAATATCTCCATCTCTCTTCCATCAGCTGCAACAGGCCACTAGAACTCTGCACAGGACCCAAGCACAATACAGAATCAAAGACCTAAATAAGGGCCTCTCCCACCATAACTATCTTCTACACTATTTCAAGGTGTACATGCACAGTCGGCATTTTGCTCAGTAGGCTTTTAAATGGCACACACACAAAAACATCTCCCTTATCTGTTTGCTCCTTCTTGCTATACCTTTCCATCTTTATGCAACATCTAATGACTTAGAAGTGCAATGGCCTTATTAACACAATACCATGATAACAAAAATAATAAAAAGCCATTGTCAACTCTGACAAAAGAGCCTCGTGGTGCAGTGGTTGAACTGCTGCCCTGCAGCCAAAACTGTGCTCATGACCCGGGATTGAATCGCAGGTAGCTGGCTCAAGGTTCAGTCAGCTTTCCATCCTTCAGAGATTGGTAAAATGAGTACCCAGCTCTCATGGGGGAGGGGTGAAGCTGGATGTAGTTTGCGTAATTGTAAACTACCCAGAGTGTGCTTGAAATGCTATGGGGCAGTATATAAGCAGCACACTTTGCTTTGACTTATGGAGACCCTTTCCAAGGTTTTCAAGGTATAGAATACTCAAGAAATTAGTTGACCATTCTCTTCTTTTGGAGATGCTCTGGAATCATGTCGCTTCTCCCAACCTCTAGCTCCACAACCAAATATCTAACTCGCCAAGCAACCCAGCAACAGTACAATACCACACGATACATCTGTATTATGGAATACAGATGTCCTCGTTGCCAATCCTACACGATGTCGCCAAGTAGCAGCTCTTGTGTCTGGACTGCAAAGCAGTGCTCTTGAAACTGGAACAGACCAGAACTACCAAAAAAGGATAGGGGGCAAGAAAACCATTTATCATGTTCTGATTCTGACTTCAGTATACATACATCCCTTTTTTCAAATTCAGCAGACAAAGATCTTCCATTGCTTTTTAAGAATCAAATGTAAGAACTAAGATGTAAGAATTTATACTATCATATAAATAAACATCCCTTCACAGATTGCTGCCTTGTCATGGTGAAGGGGTTTGAGTAACTCAGGGAAGCTATGGGATATGCTGTGCAGGGACACCCAAGACAGACAGGTCATAGGGGAGAGTTCTGACTAAATGGGATCCACCTGGAGCAGGCACTGGCAAGCCACTCCAGTATCTTTGCCAAGAATACCCCATGACGAGAAATAAAAGGCTAAAAGATATGACGCTGGAAGATGGGACCCTCAGGTCGGAAGGCGTCCAACATTCTACTGAGGAAGAGCAGAGGACAAGGACAAGTAGCTCCAGATCTAATGAAGTGGATGGGCCAAAGCCGAAAGGACACTCAGCTGTGCATGTGCCTGGAAGTGAAAGGAAAGTCCGAGGCTGCAAAGGAAAATACTGCATAGGAACCATAGGTCACTAAGAGTTGGACACAACTTAACGACTAAACAACAACAATAAATAAACAAGGCACTAAAATGTTTTCCATACCATTTTAGGACTTTCAGGAACAAAGAAAAAACACTGTGTAGCAAAATAAAGACTAACATACAAGTTTTAATGATTCAGGATTAATCTGCATACAACAGCCAAGGTCTCAAAGTCTGTATGAATGCCCCTTCAGCCATTGTCTGCCTTCCCCGCTGGCTACATAATTTAGATACCAGTTTGACAGGTACATTATTTCCAGTTACTACACACAGTTACTCACACAGCTATTCTGCTTCTACTCATGTACTTACTCATTCCTTTCATATCTGAGGGACTCCCGGACAGACCATGCAACATGGTATGGTGAGGTTTGCTCCAGCTCTTCCAGTTCTTCTCCACTGTCTTCAGACCAGTCCAGCCCTGGGAGGCAGAAAAGGAAATGAACACTTCCAACCAGCCTGCAATACCACTTCATTTCTCATGGCAACATGCATACAAGTGAGAGATTTTGGTTGAATCTATCACCACAACGATCAGACACATCTTCCAGTCTTTGAGAAGGGACTTTCTCTCTCTCTCTCTCTCTCTCTCTCACACACACATACATAAGTAATAAGCAGTGAGGCGCCCTGCTCCATAGCAAGTAAAATACACGAAAACATCTGTGCAACTCTACAGGATTATGTAAATACACAAAAGATGCATTAGTGTATTTTATTTGTTATGGAAGTAAAATACACCCCAAGAAACTCCAAGCTGTGCAGGGAGTCAAGCCAACTGTGCCCCTAACAAATGCGAACACTGGTGCTCAGAGCTTTAGGGCTCCTTGAAATAACTGCCTTGGAAAATGACAATGTGAACAAAAAAAAATTTGTCTTGTGAAAAGCTAAATTCTTAGAGAGAGACAGATATTCACTCTGCTCTGAGTTTGCAGAACACTTGCCTATGATTGTACTTCCACATTAAAAGCATGTACTTGGAAGAATACAACTCCAAGCAACTGGAAGCATCAATCTGTAATGGAGCTACTAATCTATGGAAAATTCAGTAAATCCAATGAACAAAACAAAGACACCCCCCCCCCACTTACCTAAGTGTGGAAACAGATCAGCATCAAGCTGCTGTTTCTGGGTGCACAGTTTCACCAGTCTCTGTAGCCGGCTCATGCATGAGGAGTGCGGAGAGAAGGCTGTGGCTTTCATGAGGATCCTGTCAGTCCTGGGGGGGTCTTGGGCAGGAGCCTTGGTGGGGTTCAGGAGAGGCAGAGGTCTTTTGTTTGACAACTGCCTGGCTTGTGCTATAGTGTGTGTGGTGGGTGCCACTCCCTGCATTGGTAGGCTGGTGTTCTGAGGTTGAGGCGACTTGCAGACTAAGCCCTGCGATAGCCCTGCTGGCTTTAAAGAAGTCGGTATAGGTGGGAGGTGAGGCTGCGGCGGCGGCGGCTGCGGCGGAGGCTGCTGCAAAGGTGCAGGAAGGGGGCTAAAGTGCTCTTGGCGGACTTTCAGGATCTCGGTCTCTTTCTGGCGCTGCCGGTTCTGAGCTAACTTGCTCTGCAATTTTTTCTTCACAGTCGCCCCTTTCTTGAGATCCTCATCTTCCTCGTTGAAAGCAAAGGGGTCTTCCAATTCTGCTTCCAAGTAGTGGAGAGGAAGCCTGGCCCCCGGGGGAGAGAGGGACATCCCATCCAGGCCGTTGGGCATCTTCAAGGCCAAAGGAGGGACTGTCAGACTGAAGGCCACCGAATCCATCTGGTGCCGAACTTTTACCTCCTCTATGGGATCATTCTTTTTCTTCCTCTCCTTTTTCGGTAAAAAGCCAAGGACCTGTAGGTGACTGTTGCAGTACCTTTGAAAAACACAATCCGCAAAAAAAAATCATCTTTCCCACCTGGGTCTTTGGCCAAGTGCAGCTCAACAGAGAAGGAACCGCTTTCTAGACATATCTGTTTGTCTCAATAAAGTACATTTCAATGTTGCATGACCAATTCACGTATGATAAAAATAAGGTTTGAATTGCAGAAGACATTTTAACATGGGCTGTACCGTAGCTATAGATAAAACATGTTCTCAGTTTATCATTTAGATCAGAACACTTTCAGGTGCCCATGTACGGGATACAATGTTACATTTCTGCACAATAGGCATCTTTTAAAAGCAATCTGGGATGGGGTCTCCCCCCCCCCGTCCTAATAAAAATAGCTGTGCTAGCTCATCTAACTCATTCCTGTAGAAAAGGTACCTCCTTAACCCCCCAATATTCCATTTTCACACTTGAAAATGAAGCGAAGCATAGCAATTACATAATAGCGCAGGCCACAGAAAATAGTTCAGCAAAGAACCACCCTGCATTGCCTTTCAGGTTTACTAAGCAGGAAACACACTGTGGATTTGGTGGATTTTTTAAACCTGAACATTTCAGTTTAGGAGCAGGAAGTCTTGGGTTGAAATCCTCATTCAGCCATGAAGCGGACTGGATGATCTTGGGTCTGGTATTCTCCATTTTGGAGCACTGTTGTGAGGATAAAGGCGTGGAGGAACCATGCATGTTCTCCTACGTTCCTTGGAGCATAAAAATGGAAGGAGGCTGGTACAGCAGTCTCCTTCCATTTCTATGTTATTTTTTAATGTTATAAAACAACAACAACAATAGCACAGCACCAGCTCCATAGTGTAAGATACAAGATAATTAACAGCTAATAACCTTAGGGCTATTTGTCTCTTAAGAGCAGCAGGCCTACATCCTGTGAAGGGATAAACAAGCACAAGCATCACCTTAAGCAGGACAAGTGCATACTGTTTAAGGTTTAAACAATCTTTGGCACTCCACAAGTCAGTATTCCTCCCCATATCCACTCTACGAAAACAGGCAGATGAGCAGCCGAAACTGGAATGTATATCGAGAGTTTTTACAACTAATATTTGATGGATGCAATATACTAAAACTTTTGTTGACTCAATTCAACACAGACATCTGAAAAGTTTAAGGGAGAAAGGGACACTTTTATTACATAACAGGCAATTAAGGCTGCAATCCTGCGCACACTACCCTGGCAGGAAGTCCCACTGAATTTATGAGTAGACATGCAATGTACATCACAGATTTGCACTAAGAAATCACACTTTTCAGTCCTTTTTGAAGGACTGTTTCCAGCTCTCTTCATTTTTAGAAATGTTTTAAAAGCTTCTGTTAAAAAGTAGCAAAATCCTTTCACAAACGATGCTAGAACATTTTTTAGACTTGAATATGTAGCTTACAATTACTGAGAGAGAAAGCAGGAATGAGTTACAGTATCTTAAATTTGAATAGACTGAACAAAGCTGGATGCTCCTGGAGAGCAGCAAGTTCACAGCATGGATATTCTTTTGGATCCAACCCTGCCCTTGGATAATTTGTTGGCAAATGTGGCTTAGGAGCATCTTTCTCCAGATGAAGCTTGTGGGCCCCCTTATTTCCAATCTTGTTTCATCTACAGCAGTTAATGACTTATTCCTCAGCTCAATTCAAGTTGCTGGCCTAAAGTTCTAATGCCCAACGTAGATGGAGCGGGACGAAGGCACAGTGGGAATAGTTCCAGTTGGCACATTCTGTTACCACTTGATGTCTCCAAACATCCTCCAAGGCAGCTCCACATTATATGAACCTGCTTCAGAAGCCTTCCAGATTCCTCCAGCCATCAGATACATGGTGGGGAGGAACTCAAAACCACAGTGTTCTCAGTCGTGGTGTTTTTGAATAGTCTGCCTACTCCTGTCACTGCCTGCCTTTCAGCCGGGTAAAGGAGACTAGCTAGATACTGCTCATAACATTAGTTTTGAGCTGCTGACACTTTTAACTGGGAGTTGTTTTCGCTATTTTAGTTCCTTCCCCATGGAAACATAAGGGAGTTGTGCCCCCTCTCGTTTCTTCGGTAACCTTTTAATTACAGCTACTATTCACTGATGTTGCAATGTTATCTTCCAATCCTGCCACATTCTAACGGACCACAGTTTGCCTTTTACCCAACTGGCAATTTAAAGTGGCAATCATGCAATGAAAGTTGTGGCTGCTGCACTGAGGAGGACAGCCTTTCGATGGAAAATGCCTCATCCTAGACTGTGTCTCCATGAGGAAAATTCTGAGCTGCGCCCCTCCAGCTTAGGTTAGTGATTAACACCTTAAAGCATGTAAGTCTTTTTGCTTTAAGAAAAATGGTTATATGGCAAATCTGTTTCCTTTGTGAGCCGGAGTGATTTCCTTACAGATCACACTGGTAAAAAGTAATTGGTGAGTGCAAGGTGTTATATTGACATTAGCTGTTTAGTTTCTTTGTTCATATGATGGCTTATACAAATCTTTTACTGTTAATTTAGTCAATAAAGATTGAATTTCTTTTCCCAACACTGATGTCTTTATAATCCTATGTTTAAAAAACACCAGAGAAAATTCTTTAAAAATCCAATCATTTTAAAAGCTATACCCCACAAACTAAGAAAATTCAGAATATAAATCCACTCCATTCAACACGGACAAACTGATACACCATTTAGTACCTTAATTTCTACTCTAAGTAAACCAGTGCTGCATCATAAGTAGACTAGTGCATTATTTCCTATATAGACTACCACTAGAGTTGTGGAATAACTGGAATGAAATACAGGCTTTGATAGTGTCAACATCTCCATACAGCACATTAACACTGCAATCCAGTCCAGTCCACAGTTATATAGCCTTTACCAGTGCAGACCAATTGATGGATACTGGGAAAAGGAAATCTCACTGACCAAATCCAATAGTTGTTTTCATGCATATAAGGGCATTCACAGAAAGTCTATCTTTATTGAACAAATTAATATATTGTCAACGAATACCTTACTACTTTGAATGAGCTTAAAATCTGGGGCCAGACAAACTGTCTTGTGGCACAGTGGTTAAACCGCTGTACTGCAGCTAAAACTGTGCTCACGACCTGGGGTTCAAATCCCAGGTAGCGGCTCAAGGTTGACTCAGCCTTCTATCCTTCCGAGGTCAGTAAAAGGAGTACCCAGCTCGCCGGGGGGGGGGCGGCGGCAATGTGTAGCCTGCATAATTTAAAATTGTAAACTGCCCAGAGAGTGCTTGAAGCGCTATGGGGCGGTATATAAGCAGCACGCTTTGCTTTGCTTTGCTTTTGCTTTGCATCCAAGGATACTGAAGGAACTGGGTGAAGAGATCTCAGAACCACTGTCTATTATTTTCCTGATATCATAGTGGATGGATTAAATGCCAGATGACTGGAGGAAGACTGCTGTCCTTATCTTCGAAAAGGAGGAACTGAGGAACGACAGAACAGTCAGCCTGTCATCAATCTTAGGTAAAATTCTGGAGCAGATTATAAAGCAGTCACTCTACAAACACCTTGAGAACAATGCAGTAATAACTAGGAGCCAACATGAATTTATCAAGAACAGATCCTGCCAGACTAATCTTACCTCATGTTTTGATCAGGTAAGCTCTCAGTCTGATAGACAGTAAGAATGCAGTAGATATAATATATCTAGATTTTGACAAAGTGCCCCATGATATTCTGATCATCAAGCTAACTAGATACAGGCTGGATAAGGGCTGGTTGTGTCCTCTCAACTCTAGGGTTTCATGGATGAGACGGATTATCTAGGTCGATTTCAATCTGCCTTCAGACTTGGTTATTGGACTGAGACTGCTTTGGTCACCTTGGTGAATGACCTATGCCGGGAACTTGATGTGGGAGTGTGTCCCTGTTGGTTCTGCTGGACCTCTCAGCGGCTTTTGACATCATCAACCACGGTATCCTTCTGGGCCATCTCTCTGGGATGGTATTGGAGGCACTGTTTCACAGGGGCGGTAGTCCGTCCTGGAGGGGAAAATCCAGAGGGTGGTGCTGGGGGACTCTTGTTTGACACCCTGGCCATTGGCCTGTGGTGTCCCTCAGGGATCTGTTTTGTCCTCTATGCTGTTTAACATCTACAGTACATGAAATTGCTGGGAGAGGCTGTCTGGAATTTGGGAGTTCAGTGTCACCAGTACGCGGATGACACCCAACTCTATGTCTCCTTTCCATCTAAAGCTGAGGAAACTGTTTCAGTTCTGAATCAGTGTCTAGTGTCACCAATGGACTTGATGAAACTGAATAAACTGAAACGAGGAAACTGTTTCAGTTCTTAATCAGTGTCTAGTGTCACCAGTGGACTGGATGAAACTGAATAAACTGAAACTCTGAGGAAACTGAGACAGAGGTGCTCCTGGTCAGTCGAAAAGCAGATCAAGGAATAGGGTTGCAGCCTGTGCTGGATAAGGTTACATGCCCTCTGAAAAGACAGGTCCGCAGCTTGGGGGTGCTCCCAGATTCGTCTCTGAGCCTGGATGTCCAGTTTTGGTGGTGGCCAGATCCCAGATTCGTCTCTGAGCCTGGGTGCCCAGGTTTTGGTGGTGGTCAGACGTGCCTCTGCACTGTTAAAATTAGTGTGCCGGCTGCACCCATTTCTCGAGAGATGTGATCTGGCCACAGTGACAAATGCCCTAGTTACCTCTCAGCTGGACTACTATAATGCTGGCCACAGTGACACATGCCCTAGTTACCGCTCAGCTGGACTACTATAATGGACTCTACTTGGGGCTGCCTTTGGAAAGTGTTTGGAAATTCCAGAGCATCCAAAATACTGCAGCCAGATGACTAACTGGGGCTGGTTACACAGGGAGCATATAATTCCACTGTTACAGCAGTTCCACTAGCTGCTGATCCATTTCCTGACACGGTTCAAAGTGCTGGTTTTAACCTATAAAGCCTTAAACAGCTTGGGTCCAAGCTATCTCGAAAACCACATCTCCCTCAATGAGCCTGTCTGGGGATT